ATACTTCTAAATAAAATAAAATGTGATTTTAATAATGTCAAAAACAATGATGTTTAATTTTTAAGGGTTTACAATATTAACCAAACAAAATAAATTTAAATCATGAGTAATAAGATCACATTGATAATACGATCACTTTGATAGTTACATTACCTTTAGATATTAAAAGTTATCTTAGATTTTTTTTTAATTTTCTATTTATATAATTTTTTTTGGTTTTTTTTTATTCTGTTTATTATTTTGTTTTGTTTTATTTATTTATTTGTTACTTATTTACTTGATCAAGAGTATTTTGATTTTGGCCTCGGAAGAGGCCGCTAAGGCCAAGCTTGAAGCCTCTGTTGTATACAATACCATATCCGTTTCGCGGAACTATCACCGGTGCCCTGTTTGCTATTGTCCTGCTAATCCGGGGTGCGCCCGTTGTAAAGTCATTCGATATTGGTACGTAAATTTGTCAATTATTGGCTATTGTTTTAATTTACTGAGAATTATTAAGATTTTTGTCGGCATTAGTTTGAACAGTATTTGAGATAAATCTGATTCTTTATTTGAAAATAATATCTTAAATGGCATGCAATTGAAGAATATTTGGTTAGAGAAGTGCTCCAATTAGCGCTGGGCATGTGTGGGTCTAATTTAAATACTCCATAATATGTTTAAATGTACGTAGGCATATAATTTAGCGGTACAGGGTGCGTGCTTATGAAGTGAGACATGAAGCTATTTAGAAGACTCGGTGAAAATTAATTATAGATTCAACATCCAAAATCTATCATGGATGGGGAGTTTGGAGTTTGTCTTAGAAACTGCAAATTTTTTGATCGATGGTTGTGCTGATTTTGAGCAAATGTTTTAATTTGTAAATGCCATGTGTGAGCCTCCTACTTCTGTTTCTCAAAAAAAATTTTCCCAGCTTTAATGTTCAAGAAATTGGAGTATTAAAGCTGTTCAATTATTCATTTGTGCTTAATCATGTGTTAAATGCTGATGGGCGTGGCAGTGGAAAGTTGTTTATTCATAGGAGACATTGTTGATTTTTCATGATGTCCAAATTTGAGAACATTTATTGATTTCAAATGAAGTTTCCAGAGAAATGAGATAAATTTATTATGAATAATATGAATAATGAAAGCATTCATAAGATCAAATTCCACTTTAGTTCTGCACTCTTAAAGGTGTTGAATTTCTGCTTGTCACATTGACAACTAAATAATGATTCTGCTTTGTCTATTGGCCTCCTTTAAATTTCTTGGTTGATTGAGACTAATGCTACTGATCTCAAAAATATGAAATTTCATTATCAAAATCTGTCCTCATTTCCTCTTTATATCAAATGTTATCATCTTCATAACAGGCATGGTACTTTGGTGTTTGAGGGAGGACAACCCATCTATTTGTTGATTTGGGTATAAAATTTTTTGTTTCTAGTTGGCTTACCAATTCATATCAGCCTTCCTTTCTCATAAAAAGCAAGAAGGGAAAACTATAAGTGATAAAACAATAAAGGGAAAAGGTTAGAGACATTTTGGGATAATTCATATATATATTTTTTTTTTTGCTGTCTATTGAGTTGTTTTTTGAATTAACAAATATAGCAATATCCGTTGTCAAGTTATTTTTTGTTTAATTAATTCTCGTTTTAGTTCCCTAGAGAATATATATGTTCACTTGTTTGGTTTGTCAGGCTTATTTGTTGTATTATTCAAATAAGGATCACACTAGAATGGGCTCATAAAATTAAATCTATAATGCTCTATCGACCTGCATGTCTCCAGCTGATAAAGAGTATTGCAAGTTGTTTAAGGATGACAATGATATGTTACAAATTTGTCAAAAAAAGTGATTCATTGTGATGGAATTCCTGGTTACAGCAGAATTTTTCATACTTGGTTTACGAAATCAAAGCTTTGTTGATGATTAATTCAAGCCATTTTAATGTTGATTGTTGGTATACCATCCTGATTATGTAGAATGCCAATATGTTTCTGCACCACCTTTGCGTTCATTAAGTTTCCATGGCCAATGAACGTGCTTTTGATTAATTTCATGCGTATCAAAATATCTTCATCAAAAGTTTAGAATATGAGTTGCATTCATATTAAAATTAGTAGTTGTTGATTCATTAGCTGTTAACTTCTTTGTTGATTCATTAAAATATTGTAATTTGCCTAATTGGCTAGTATTTTGGAATATTTGTATACAATTTGTAGTAATTTGGTAAAATATTATTGTTTTTAATCAATGAATAGAAGAATTTTATTTTGCTATATTTTAAAAGCAAATATTTTTCACATTTTTTTTGTTTTTTTGAGAGTATTAGCAACTGAATTTTTCGTCATTAAAAGGCATCATCGATGGAAATAATTTTTATGATAAAACACTTTAGCGTTGGAAATTTATAATTAATGATGAAATTTTTCATTAAAAGTGTTTTCACACAAAAGTATTCATGTCGCTAAAATTTATGTTTTTAAGTTTTAGCAACAGAAAATTTTGTCGCTAAAAGTTATCCTCCTATTGATGGAATTCTCTTTTGTGATGGAATACTATTAGCAACTTCAAATTTTTTTACGAAATAATGGGCATTCCATCTCTGAGGGTTTTTAGCGGTAGAAATAAAACCTTTAGTGAAGGAAGTTTACGTTACTAAAAATTAGTTTTTTTAAGTGTATTTTTAATTATTAGTTCATTTTATATTTAAATTTTATTATATTATTAAAATTATTATTTGATATTTTAATCTAATAAAAATATTTTATTTATTTGTAATTAATATGTAATTCATCCATTTATTATATAAATTTATGCATTCTGACTTTCATTTGACATTCATTTAAAATGTTAACGTAACACCTTATATTTCTTTTCTCTTTTTATTCTTCTTAGTCAACTTTTTTTTCATTTTTATTTTTAAAATTTAAATAAATTTGTCAAAAAAACCCAATAAAGTTATCCGCACTCGAGGTGTTCATAGACGGGTTTGTGTTAGATTTGCGTCAGATACGTGTTAGATTCGCGTCAGATACATGTTTAATATTAATAATTTATATACTTGTACAAGTCTTGCCCAGCTTGATATTTTGAGTCTCAAATTTTTCTAAGCCCGACCATAGCTGAAAAAATATATCAAAATGCACCCATTAAATTTAATTGGTATAATAAAAAATTAAAAATTTCTCATTTTAAAAATTATAGTATTAAAATAAAAATTCACACACACACACACACATATACATATATGCATATACTTATATAATTATAATATCTTAATTATATATGTTTTATTTGTGCTGGATCCTAGCTATAAGATTTTTTTGTTTAAGGCCCAGTATAAAATTTAAATGGGCTTAAATATTGTGCTCAAACCCATTTAATGGATTTTAATCTTTTGTCCGAACTCTTTTAAAATTTGAACAGACCTTTAAGTCTAAGTAGATAGCCTGATCCTTAAATAAGTCTAACTCACACAGCACTCCAATTTGATTTTTCTTGTTCAACTTCTTTTTGGTTTTTTAACAACATAAAATTTGCGACAAATAGATTCGATGAATAGAGATGGTAAAATAATTCTTATCGGATGGATTTCGATCCAACTTGATCTTATAAGGGTTAATTCCCTTTCTCTCTTTTTTTTTTGTTTATTTTTTATTATATATATATTTTATAAGAAAATAATGTCAATAAAGGTGTCCATGTAACACATCTAATTTGTTTATTTCCTTTCGTATTCTTTTTTTTTGTTTTTAATTTTATATTTTTTAAATTAGATTAATTTTACAACAAAATGAGTTGATGCATAATGATGGAAAAATAATTAATATCTGATAGTTTTTTATCCATCTCGATTCAATATAAGCATTTTTGTAAAAAAAAATGATATCGAGTCTGGTTGAGTCATTTTTTTTACAAAAAATAAGGATGGGTCAAAAGTAGATTTAGGATGTTTCATCCCAAATCATCTCAAGGTATATATAAAAGTATATATTTTTATTATCTATTTAATTATATATATGTATTATATTACTGAAATTATTATTTTATACTTTAATTTAAATATTAACAATTTAATTTTAATTTTAATGTCAAAAAGACACCTTGATGATATTCATTTTCTCTTTTTTTTTAATTTTTCTTTTTCTTTTTTTTCTTTTTTTTTCAAATTTTTAATTAATTAAGTTAATTTTTAATATCTTACTTTAAAAAATAATATTTTAAGTTCAATTGGGATGTCTACATAGTACACTAATGAACTCAATTTTCTTTTTTTCCTTTTTTAATTTTTAATTTTTTTCTTTCTTTTTATTTTTAACATTTTTTTACTAAATTAATTTTATTAAAAAATAAGACCAATGAAGATTTTCATGTAACACTTCTATTTGACTTTTTTTCTCTTTCATCTTTCTTTGTACTTTTAATTAGAAAAATTTTACAAGTAAAAGGTGTCAAAAAATTTATATCCAATTAGTTTCAATCCATCTTAATCCGATAAAGGATGATTTTTTAAGTTAGTATCAAGTTGACACAGGTTGAATTTTTTATAAGATATGAAATTAGAATAAAAACGTATTTAGAATGTTTTGTCCTAATCAGAGTATCAATAAAATATATATTTTATTATTAATTTAATTTATATTTGTATCTATATTATATTAATAAAATTATTATTTAATATTTTAATTTAAAAAATTAATATTTTAAATTCAATGAGAATTTTCATATGGCACCTTTTATGATTTTTTTATAATTTTATTTTTTATTAGATATATTTTATGATAATAAAAAATTAATGTAAATATTGCATGTCATCTTATTTTTTTTCTTTATCTTTCGTTTTTTAATTACATAAATTTTTTTTTTTAAATGGATAAAGAAAAATGACAAAAAAAAAAAAATTTTGACTCGCGGGCAATGCGCGGGTATCACCTAGCTAATAGTTATTAATAGCACATATAAGTGCAACTGCTGGCATCAACTAACCTCGTGCTGGTTCACCTGCTTCCATTTACTTCACCGTGTACACTTATATTCACCCCTGATTCTTCTGAATCCACTCACCTTCCTATCTTCATTCTTTCTTCTTGTTGGAGTGTTTCGATTCCAGACAGAGATGGAGAGGGAAAGAAGCAAGCAGGTTTCTTTGTTCATGTGGATTTTGGTAGCTGGCTTGCTCTTCCAGAACTTGGTTATTCCAGTTACGTCCTTTAGCTTAGAAGAGCAGAAGAACTACTACCATCCAGCTCCAGATCCTCATACAGGAACTCCCGCCTCAGGTTTCACTCTCTTGGCACTCACATTGAACCAAAGAAACTATTTGTGATTGCTTGTCACATGCCCCATATATATATATATATATATATATATATGTATATATATTTTTTAAATCAGTCAGTTATGGCGAACTATGCCTTGTTTAGTATATGGTTCATACAATTTGGCTGATGTTTCCATTTTGTTCATTTTTCGTCCTTAATTTGTCATCTGCACAACATGCATGCTGATTTAAATGGTTCCAACTGCAGGTTCACACGGGACACCATCACACAGTTCAGGAGGTAGCTATGGTGGCACACCTCCCTATCATGGAACGCCATCACATGGAGGTGGCTACCCAACACCATCAACGCCTTCAGGTGGAAATTGTGGAACTCCGCCGCATGAACCATCAACTCCATCAAGACCACCACGCGTTCCTTCACATGGTGGATATTACCACTCCCCTCCAACTTCTGGAGGTGGTAGTCCTCCATCATATGGAGGTGGTAGTCCTCCAACACCAGTCACTATAAGCCCACCAACGACTCCCATTATTGATCCAGGAACTCCAAGCGTTCCCACACCTCCATTCTTTCCTGCTCCAACTCCACCTTTTGGTGGTACATGCGAGTAAGTCACTGTAACTTCATCATGAAGTTATGACACTAACTAACGACTCATATTTGTTACTTTCAGTTTCTGGAGGAGTCATCCAACACTGATGTGGGGTTTGCTTGGTTGGTGGGGCACTGTAGGCAGTGCATTCGGTGTGACCAGCATCCCTGGGTTTGGAGCAACCATGAGCTTGCGCCAAGCACTTTCAAACACACGTACTGATGGACTTGGTGCGCTTTACCGAGAAGGCACAGCTTCCTTGCTGAACTCCATGGTGAATAACAGGTTCCCATTCTCAACTAAGCAAGTTAGAGACAGTTTTGTTGCAGCACTTGGTTCAAACAGTGCTGCAGCAGCTCAGGCTCGTCTCTTCAAGCTTGCCAATGAAGGCCACCTCAAGCCCAGGGCCTAAACGACACCATTGGTGTGTCAGTTTCTTGAAGCATTTATCCACCAGTGTGTTCTACTTAGGTTTTGTGCTTGTAGTATTTTCTAATATCTGTGATGCTATAGCTTTCTATCGGAAAGATACATTGTGGAGAATTAAATGTTAATTATGTTTTCTTATTGTTAAATAAGATTTAAGCTTTTTGTTCCAATTTCCTGCTACCCCACATCAGCATCTATTTGTCCTTACGTTTCTTCTATTTGCTAAAGAAACAAACAGGAAAAATATTTTGGATTCAGTTCCACATATTCCAAAGTTCTAATCGATAGTGTATTCCTCTATTTGTTACCTTATGGCTTGTATGGAATCCGTTGAAAGTCTTGTGAAAAGATAATTTTTAATGAATTTATTTTGGTATAAATAAATTTATTTGCATCCACTTAAAAAAGAGATACATTGATTAAAATTTAAGAACCCTTGTCATTAAAAAAATCCTATTTCATAGAGGTTTTGTATTTCTAATGAATTCATTAAGTCCATATAAATAATTTATTTATACCGATAAAAAAAATATACCGAGTAAAATTTTCAATCCTAATTGATAGTAGCTACATCAAAAGGTGGTTTACTAAAAGAGGTAGCTAGGCCGCTGGAGAACACGAAACCATAGTTTCAAACTATCCAAAACAATCTCCATTCATAAATGACAAAATCTAACAAAACATCTTTCTTTAATTTGTAAGATGACCTTAAACCAAACTATAGCATTAATACTAAATAATTATGCTTGCAGATGCTTGGATGTTTAGGGGGCTGCTTCCAACAATGAGAGCATGTCGCATGCTCACTACAACAAAGGGAGTGTGGTGTAAGAATAAAAGAGAAGTGAATGCGCATTAAATGGCCATAATGCAGACCAGTGGGACTTGCAGACAGGCCTATGTATTTCATTGATATATAGCATAGCAGTAGGCAATCCATGAACCATATTTAAGAGGGAATTGAAAAGTAGAAATTAAACTTTCGGTCCCACAATATATGTATTCATGTTATGTAATAAATTGATAGTTCGAATATATGTATTATATTTTATATAAAAATATGTTTTACGATTTGTATTGATATAAAATATACAAAATAATTTTTTTATTAAATTTTTTTATAATTTTTATTAAAATTTTAAATCATATCATTTTTTTTTTCATATCATTTATCATATCATATTTTAAATTATCAATTCTAATAATAAGAAGTAGTACCAAGATCTTTAAAGTTGGTTGTCATTATTAGGGGTGAGAAAAAAATTGAAAAAATAAAAAATTGATTTAAAACCATAGTGTTCTATTTGGATAAGTTTTTTTCTATTCAATTTGGATTAAATTTGGATATTAAATGTATATTAAGTTCAAACCAAAAAGTGAAAAACAAAAAATTGAACTAAACTGAATTATATATTTTTATTAGTTTTTATATATTTTTTAAATTTTTATAAAATAAAATAATTATTTTATACCTAAATCTATTTAAATATATAAAAAATAATATTAAATAATATATAAAAAATTTAAAAATCGATAAATCATATCGAACCAAATTATTATAATTCAATTTGAATTGGATCAGATCGTATGAAAGTTCGATTTAAATTTTGATGAAATTTTAAAAATTTATAATTCTATACATTATAAAAAAATTAAATCAAATCAAATCTGATTTGAACCGTTACCTCCTCAAATTATTATCATACCCAAAAAATATAGATCTCGTTATCATAAAATGTAGGTAGATCTTAAATTGTCATCAACATAAAGAAAACATAAGTATACATTTGACAAGAATTCTAATAACAATCATGGCCATTCCTTCCAAGTCACATTGGAAGTGACAATTTTACAATCAAGGGATTTGTCTTAAATGAAAGTAGAAATGATGCAAAAAAAAAAACAATTGTGCAGGAAACCCTTTTTTAGAATCTATTGAGTGTTAAAGTGTTGCTATTTCATATTTAGTAAATATCTCATTTTTTTATAATCTTATATTCGTGTTTAACATGATATCAAAGCTAAGATTTCCTTTTGTTGCCTTTTTCAAATCTATCACTTGATAGGTTTTTTCTATCTCTACTTACATGTGATGGGGGCCTGTTAAAAGGGTGTTATCCTACATCCAATAAATATATAATTTCTTGTAATCTTCTATTGAAGTTGAATCTCTTCATTTACTGCCAATTGATTTTAAATTTGATGTTTAACATTGAGAAGCACAACCAAAGGGCTACAAACCTTTGTTTACTAAATAAAAAGATGATAGAAAGGGAAAACTATTATACCTATATAGGATCAGCTAGAGCTAAAGTACTAATAAGAAATCATTTACTAAATTGACAATAAGAAAAGCTAACAATTCTTTGGAAAAACAATGGGCAATTGGAAACCTAATCACCAAATGATTATAGGAAATTACTTTTTATTATGTATTCTAACCTATTATTGCTCCTTAATATCTATGACTCTCATATTACTTCCTATAAACTTTGTGTATGTAATCATGATTGTTTGCAAGAAGAAAAGACAATATCATTGCAATATTCAGTCTACTATTTCATACTCTTCCAATCAAGGAATACATGACATGAATTGTTCAACTCAATCTAATTATAGCCACATTTGCTAATCTGGACTTAACTTGTGTTGGTTATGAAACGGGTTAATATTTTGAATAGCTTATGAGTTATAGTAAAATGTTCAATCTACTCTTTAAATTTAAAAAATTTTTAATATGATACATTAATTATGAATCTGTTGATTAATATGACATTTAAAAAATTATTTGTTAATCATGTATTATCATTTGAAGCTAACTACACTAGAACTAAGTATCATACTACCGTAAAAAATTTTTAAATTTAAGTATTACATTAAATATTTTACTATAATTTATGAACCACTTAAGCTAAAATTGCACTCATGGTGAGGTAAGGTGCATTTAACACCTAAAAAGCCAACTATAACATCCTAATGCTACAAATGTGAGGTACTATTAAAATAATTCAACCATGCCACACTCTTCTTTTCTCACTAGACATTTACATCCCATTTATTACTCTATATACTCCACTTCTAAATACACCATAAATTCAAAACTCAATTTCCTATTTCTACTAAATACACCCCACCCCTCACTTTTTATTTTTCATTTCTACCCTTTCTCTCTTTACTTTTCGAAAATAAGTGAAATCGAGCTTTTCGAAAAGCTTTTCAAATATTCATTTTCGAGAATCTTTAGGATTCTTGGAAATCCATTTTCAAGAAGTCTTAAAGCTTATCGGATATCCATTTTCGAGAAACCTTAAAGCTTTTTGAATACCATTTTTGAAAAGCCTTAAGTCTTCTTGAAAATTCATTTCGAACAAGCCTTAAAACTTCTCAGATATTCATTTCTAAAATGCTCAATTTCACTTTTGGAAATCTATTTATGAGATTTACATTGTATTCAAAAAAAAAAAAAAAGGATTGGTTGTATAAGTTACTGAGGGTATTTTTGTCATTTATTAAAGGTAAAATTTGGTATTTACTATATGGATATTTTTTGGAAGAAAATTTAAGGGGTGTATAGAGAAGATTTTGTAGTGCATTTAGAACACCTATGTGGAGATTTATTTTTCTCATCACACCCTTATCTTCCAACTTTGTACTCATTTTTCTTTTTTTTTTCATTTTTACCCTTAAGGATATAGTATAATGACAAAAATGTTCCTATCCATTGACATTTCTTTTTGTAATTTTTTTCATTTTACCTTTCTATTAAAAAAATTTTAAATAACTTTGCTAATGTAAAACAATAAAAAAATTTATTATAATAAATAAATAGATATCTTCATAATTAAGTAATTAATTAAAATAAATTAAAATAAATTTAAGTAAATTTATTATATTTAAATTTTAATTTAATGTTCTTTGTGGTAATGTCTTTTCTCTATAGAATTTATCTTACTATTACTGCTACATTTGCATTCAAACGTCACTACAAGAAAAGTCACTTTTGTTGGTATTTATAAGTGTCGGTAAAAGACCACAAAAGTACTAGTGTTATTATTGCCAGCAGTTCTTTGACTGCCAGCTAGGTGGATGCCAGTAAAAACTTTTCAATGGTCAAGCCACTAGTGCCAGAATAGTGTGTGTTTTTATTAATACAACTTTTCTCGACACTTTAAACTGCCTTTACAAATAAAAAATCCTTTAATGGCATTTTAAAGTGCCTGTACAAGTTGTTATTTTATTTAAAATTTTTCATAGTTATTGACTGAATTATAGTGACATTTAAAATCATCTTTAAAAGCTTGTTTCAATTTTTTTATAATTTTTCTTTTCCAAGTTACAATTTATTTTAAATTTAGATATTTCAAATTCCAATAAATTTACTCCTATAGAGTACAACAAATTGAATTTTTAGCTAGCCGTTCAAAAATTTTTAAGCTATCATTTTTCATAAAATAAATTTACAGTTTCTAATATGATTTTATTTACGCAAATAGCAAAACTAATAAAGAGAGTAACACCAATCAAAGTTAACAAAAAGAATAATCTAACAAGAAAGTAACATATCATCTAAACATAATTCTAAAATAATAACAATGAAAAATATCCTAATTCATTTGCTCAGCTCTTAGAGCAACATCACCTCAGAACACATGCAATGCTATGTGCATATCCGCTAATAAATTAATCTACAAAGAGAAAATATACAGCCAAATTTATTAAGTCAATGTAATGAGGAATCTAATTATTAAGAAAGAACATAGGCAAACAAATAACTTTAAGTTTGGTGTAGAAGGGTCAAGCATTTGAACGTTGCTAGAATTTTCAATAAGGATAATATTTTGCAGCTGAATGCAGCTAGATGGAATCACATCACAAAAACTAAAGTGATAATTACACAAAAACTCAGGGAAATCATGCAATAGCATAAGCTAAATGTCAAGGTGATTTAAAGGAGAAACCCTATATTCTCATCTTAATCTTTAAGGAACAAAATTTCCATTTTTGCACCACAAATGTAGTAAAAGTAGGATTCAAAAGTAAAAAAAACATATGTTTATTTTTCAATCATATGTGGTGTCCTAAAATAGGAAGGAATACTAAACAAAGGGGATATTGGTGTCATACAATTCTCACCATTAGGTTTTGCTTATAAGATTGGCCTTGTTGCTGTCACCATGGCTGAAAGAGCATCAGTGACTATGGAAGCCATAATGTGTTCATGATAATGTTTCCTTTAATGCACTTTGTATCCATTTGGCATGAAGCTTCCAACCACAATCTAACAAAAGAAAATGGAACTATATTACTCTATGTGTATATTTTAAATTTAGTGAAAATAGATTC